CTCCCCTCTCCCTCCCCTCCCCTCCCTTCCTCTCCCCTTCCCAAGCATGTCCGTGGGTGAGGATTTAAAAAACAAGAACAACAAAACAACTATTTAATGGCTATTTCATAAATCTATCTAAATTACCTACTACGTTAGTGCTGTAGCATTGTTTTATTTTGTGAAAATGTTTAAAAATATAGAATTATATATATATTCTACACTTAAAATCTTTTTAGTTCAAGTTGCAACTTAACTAGTTCCTTCTACTCTCCACATTTTGCGTGTTCTTGTGTGAACTACGTGTCCTAGTAGGTCTCTGGTGCTTGAAAGTTGGAGAGGAGACAGAGGACAGATGCCTGTTCCCTGCACATGTTTTCTTTTTAACCAGAGAGACTCTGCTTTTCTCTATTTTATTTCTGTCAGTTCCATAATAGCATTTTATTTGAACACAAAATTCCATGGCAAAACCAAAATACGCGCGTGTGTGTGTGTGTGTGTGTGTATGTGTGTGTGTAATATATATATATAAAATCTCCTAATTGGTTAGATTAGAGGGGAGTGGGGAAACACTAAGGGTAAAACTTTAGATCACTCAAATAGTTTTTCCATTTGAGGAGAAGAACCATTTTCCTCAACCACAGAGAGCTAATTACTGTGGGTATGATGAACTCCTAGATAAGGCTAATATTCGGAAGGAAGATGATGGGTAAGGCCATTAAGAATTGAATTTTTTACTGGGAGTCCAGATGAGAATGTCAAAGAGTGCAGCATGTTTAGAGTGGCTGGTAAGACATTTACTTTATTTCATGTGCTTTATGTACAAGGACCACATAAGAGTAACACCAAGTCTAGGGTAATAGGGAATATGGCCTCCCAGCCTTACCTGTGCACCTTTCCAGAGCTGTTCATTGCTCTCTTTCTGATTTTTACTTGTCATTTAAACACGAGTGTGGGAGGAGCTTACATGCCATAATCCTCTTTACCTTGTTCTGTACTCCATTTCCCACCTATAGATTATGAAGGCTATTAACAGTGTTTCATTTGCTTGAAGGTACCTTAATAATTCCTGGTCTTTTAATTATATTTGTTGATGACCAAAAAAGGCATTGACTAGACTACACTCTACCAGAAATAGAGAGGAACATATTAAGTAAACATTTTTAAATTTAGAAAGTTTTTAAAAATTTGAGGAGCCCAAATGAAATTATGGGAGATACAACTTGTGCTTGGCAAATTGAGTTTAAAGAGGGGAGGGTGGGGTAAGGGGGAGAGAGATCAACCAAAGGACTTGTATGCATGCATATAAGCTTAACCAATGGGCACAGACACCAGGGGAGTGAAGACATGAGTCGGGGGGGCGGGGGGGCAATGGAGGGATAAGGTCACATATGTAATTACCTTAATCAATAAAGAAAAAACACACAAAATAATATGGAAAAAAAGTTTATTCTGTGGTTTGTATACCTCAAAGGACAGAGGCCTATTTCCATGTTTATCATATTGACTTTAACATAAGTTATTCTGATTACATATGAAATAGGAAACAAATATGGGTGAGCACTTTTCCTGGAAAGTGGTTTTTGTCTTTGTTTTTAGTCAAGAGGTCTTAAACTAAGGCCCTAAATTAGTCACATTTTTGTCCAGATAATGCTCTTATAAGTGAGGGAGCACCGGGAAAGTGCTCTCTGTGAGCCTCAATAGCAGTGACAAATACCATTCCTGGAATTTTATTTACAAAAATAGTTCTTCTGAACAGTAAAAGTTGGTTTATTTATCAGCATTGGGGTCTATAATTTTGATTAGAAATGACTTTAAACAGCTACAACTCTGGAGAGTATAGAATATAGGGCTCTAGTCCTCTATTACTGACAATGCAGGAGTCTTCTACCCTGTGTGCCTTCACTCCCCAAAAGAGGGAGACTGTCGTACATAAAAATTCTGTGAAGTTCCACATTTTTAAAAGAGCCCTCATATGGATTATATTATAATTTTCTTATAAACTATTTTCTAAGAGTTTCCACAGTTTTTGTAATAGCTTAAAAATAGCCATTTTTAGCTTTTTGTGCACAAAGTGTTAAGTAGAATAACTAATAACATGAATCCCTTTTATTTGAACTACAGCTGATTCTACTTTAGTTAACTGTTTTTCATCAGCCTATTTCTCTCTATAGCTGTTAAATTTCAAAGGGAACATTATTTGAATCTGTATTATATAATAATGAGCAATGAAAATTATAGAATTGTATTAATGTTTCTCTCTGTGTTAATATTGGGAAAAAAGGAGTCAAGGAAACCGAAATGTTGAATATTGATATTAAACATCAAGAGATTATAATTAAGTTTAATGGTAACTGTTAGACTTTAAATTTGTTAATATAAGTGTAATTTTATAAAAATTTGTTTTACTCTTAGGAACAACAACTTTTGATAGTCCTAAGTAATTGCTGCTACCTACAATGTCACACCTTCCTAAATATAGCAGAACATTTTGAAAAGCACAACTTTCAAGGAATAGAAAAAATAACACAGGTAAGTGAATTATGTTAAATGGACAAGTTGTTTTTTTTTTTTATCAATTTCCAAACTACTTTCTCAGCACCCTCTTTCTTTTGCTTTCCTGTCCTTTTCCCTCTTCTTGCCCTCCCCTCCCGTATTCCTTCCCTATTTTCATCCCACCGTTTTTTGAATGACTCTTGTCCTTCTCATAACTCACCTTGAATAATTAATTTAATACTCTCTTCTTTCCTCTAGAGCAAAGTTTTCTCAAGGTTAGAGCTGATTTACTACCCACCTAAGTTATTCAAAAGTAAGAGGGAAAAATAATGACACAAAGGCATAAAACCCAAATCTTTAAGAATCAGCTCAAATTTTGGCTGCTTTTAAAGCTTTTACTCATAGCCAACAGCAGACTCCCTGAGCCTGCAGGAAAAAAAAAAAAATCTCTTCCTGCTTATTCACACTTTTTTCTCTCTCCCTCTCCATGTGTCTAAAATGATCCTTTTGCTTTACTACTTAAGCAGGCACACAGGTGCTTGAGCATGGACACAAATGCACACACACATACACACACATACACACACACACACGAGACTGGATTACAAGAGCTGTAGGATGCTTAATATCTTGCTTAATATCTTAACTGAAAAACACATAGTCTCCATTCTCTACTCAATGGATATAGCAAGGCTGCACAAAAAATGAGTTCTGTATCAATGGAGTAGGTTTTTTAAAGGTTATATTTTGTTGTTTATATGTTTTCAAGTAACCAGAAAAGGAAAAAAATGAAATAACCTTGTTACTAAAGGTTAGTTGGTTCCTGGGCAAAAGTTTATCAGATTTCTAAGTAAAACTAAGCTAGAACCACTTTTTAATGTCAGTACAGTTTTCTCAGTGCAAAGAATAAGAAAGATAATGATCTTGTTAATCTTATAATCAAAATGTACTCTCGATGGATCACATACTTTTTGCAAAATGATGGTTCCAGTTCATGAGCTCAATTGGGATTTTTTTTTCAAAGAATGAGAATATCGAAGTGGGTGGCTCTGTCTTGTTTTCCTGTCTTTTTGTTAAAATTAATCATTCTGATGAGAAATGTTGTGACTTAGGCTGTAGGGTCAAAAGTCAAGTTTATTTCCTTAAGTTTTTGTGTTGAGTACAAAAACTGTTTTTATGCAGTAACAATAATGACATCAGTATATTTATTGGAGAATTTTTAATCATTTAAAAATACATGAAATGATTAGGAATTTCAGTAAGTTTGGTTTTCTTTAGTTTTTTAAAAAGTTATAAATCGGAACTATCTATTGTTTCAGTTTATATATTTAGGAAGTAAAATGAAAGTGACATATAAATAGACTTTGTCCAGATCATTTTGAGACCAAGGTAATATGAAGGGTTTGTATGTGCAGCTTAGAATAAATGATAGGCTATTTTTCACATTGAGAATTTGAAAATTTTAATTGACCAGTGATATTTTGAAATTATTCAGTTGTATAAATAGTAAAGTAGATTTAGATTATAACATTTGTGTTAATTTTGTTTGTTAATGAGTAAATTCATTAATTACATGATACCAACCAAGTAAAATATATTTTTGCATTAAGGGAAAAAGGTTGCCAACTGCTATTGTTTTTCATAGTCTGTTTTCAAAAGACAGCTAATCTAGGGGTAAGATTCCTGAGAAATCAAGGGGGCACGTAGATCGCATGATAACTTAGTATCTATCCTTTCGCCCTGTTTTTACTCTTAGAGATAATGGTTCATTGAGGGCTTCTCACTTAGTGTCACCAGACACTAGACATTCTCTCAGATCTCCTTCCAGGGATGAACTGGTGGTTTGTCAAGGGTTCATCTGAGCATATTTTCTCCTGCTTCCCTATTGGTTCTTCTACCAATAGAAGGAGGAAAAGTAATAGTTGTTAATTCCCTAAATCTTGTTCCCCGTCTTCAAAAGTAGAAAGAATTTTAATATTGAGATAGTACAGAAATAACTGTGCTTTTTAGGAGTTTATTAAATAGTGACCAATGATCATTTAAAGCTGGAATGATTTCATATATACAATTTGCAAATAACCCTGTGGAATAATTAAGGTATTATTAACTCAGTTTTTTTTTTTTTTCATACAAAAAGCTGCTAGGAAAAGATAATGATTTGACCTATTTAATAAGTAGCAGAGTAAAGCAGGACTTAACATTAAGTTTTCTCATTCTAAATCCAGAATGCTTTCTGGCCCAGAACCATATATCTTAAAGAACAAAATTGTTCCCTGGAAATACACTAAAGGAATGGGAAGATGTGGTAACTATATTTATATAATTCCAAGGAATCTTTTTTACATATATAAAATGCTATTTTAACCTATCTTAGTCTTTAAAAAGCAAACGTCCAATTTACAGTATGATAATTGCAGATTTTCAGTTTACTCAGAACTGTAGTCATTAAACAAGTCTGTCATTAAATTCTTTTTTTAATTTAATTTTATTGATTCTTTTACAGAGAGGAAGGGAGAGGGATAGAGAGTTAGAAACATTGATAAGAGAGAAACATCACTCAGCTGCCTCCTGCACACCTCTTACTGGGGATGTGCCTGCAACCACGGTACATGCCCTTGACTGGAATCGAAACTGGGACCTTTCAGTCTGCAGGCTGACACTCTATCCACTGAGCCAAACCATTTGGGGCTGTCATTAAATTCTTGATTGAGATTTTACTACTACATGGGGGTTGAGAGAGGCAGTTTTTTGGGTTTTTTTTAGTATATCCAGGGAAGATTCTATACCAACAGCAATCAATTTTAAAGATTTTGTGTCACTTGAACCATATGTGCTATATTTTACGTATTTAAGTATGTTTAGCTTAATTGTATATAATCCTTAAATTTTGCATCAAACCTTTTGAATTCACAGAAGTGAATGATTATGGCTTGTGACCTCACTTTATTTATTTCCCCCATCTCTTAATAATATAAATTAGCTAAATTTAGTTTAGAAGCTATTTTAATAAAATAAATTAGTTGCAAATTAATCCTTTTGGGAGTTTAAGATCTTATGGACAGGAATTATAAACTGGGAGATGAATGCCATGAGGAGCACTGAAATGTGGGAAGGAGAACAATATAATCAGATCTGTATTTCTGAAAGCCCCATCCTGAAAACACCATAGATAGAATTTAGAGATTAAGCTAAGAATTTGGGAGGGAGGCTCCTACAATAGCACAGTCATGGAAAAGGATTGAGTTTAAACAGAAGAGCAACATAGATAGGTTGATGTTTGAACTGTTTTAATCTTTCTCTCATGGCATTCATCACCCCTACTCCAGTCCCCTTTCATCTAGTCACTCATCTTTCCTTGATCATTTCATACAATATGTCTTCTCATTAATTTACTGAACATTAGCTTACCAGGCTCTATTTTAAGAACACTTACGTATAGTTTGTTTTACTATCTATCAGGGATGCCTTTTCCAGTCTTGACATGACAAAATCTTGATCCTTCAAAGCCCCACTCAGATACAAAGTCTCATCCTGTAAAGAGCTTCTTATGACCTCTTCTTATCTGTTTTTCCAAGGTACAAAATGAATCAAATTGTCTTCTTCTGATGATGTTTTATTCACACCCCTGGAATAGCATTTTAACACATGACATTATGATTAGTTTAATATTGGTATACTTTCTATTAAATTTATCTGTATTGTTGAAAGTAGTCCCCCTTTTCTTCACCATTAACCTTCTCCACCCCACACCCACCCCTCCCAGGTCTTTACCACACTATTGTCTGTGTCCATGGGCTGTGCATATCCTATCTAATAAAAGAGAAACATGGTAATTAGCATATGACCACTACCCTTCACCATTGGCTAATAAGGGCAATGTGCAAATTAACTGCCAGCCAAGATGGCGGCCGGCAGCCAGGCAGCTTGAAACTAACATGAGGCTTGCTTGCTTCAGTGACAGAGGAC